GTGTATATGTATATATGTATATATATATTTATATATATATGTATATGTCTTCGGTTTCATCGGACATGGGGATCCAGCGGCGTGTCGGTATCTTTCGAACATGCTATTGACTGTTTAGTTACTACGCTCTCTCCAATATTACCTTGCTTGTCTGTGTGCATGCTCAACTGCTGCCTAGTGCCTCACATTCAGCACTATAAACTTCTTTCCGTCCAACTCAGGATTCAGGTATACCGCGTGACCAGATTTGGATCACTTCTAAATTGTGGCCTATGGACCTCTACGAGACAGATGGGTACCGCTCAGCCATCATGAAAGGCAAAGAGTCTTTTGAGGAATTGGAGACATACATCGACCTGTACCTGATACATTCCCCTCATCATCCCTACGAACGAATCGGTATGAGATTTCTGTTCCTTGCGTGAGTTGTGAGCAAGCGAGTGATGTGGCATTGACGCGCTCTGTGAGGGTGTGAGTTCTTTATGATGCAGTATAACTGTACATTCACGCCTACTTCGACTGTATCCACCATTTGAAGTATGTAGTTTTTTTCTGGTCTCGTCGTATTTACATTGTATCTTGTCATTTAGTAAACATTTCCTGGACCTTACCATTGCCGATAGGTCTCTAAATGTGAGACGGTACAAACCAGTACACATAAAACTGCGAATGAGAGCGATACACTTCTTCAAACATAGTCGCTGCGCTGTCTACATTGTGCCATGTGCATCGACGCTATTCATTCTCTTGGTGTTGTCCACTGATCAATAAAGTTGGCTGTTGTGGTCCGTGTCGGCCACAATGAGTTTTAGTACGTCGTATATCAATCCTCTATTGATCAGCCACAACAGGCGAGCGTGCATTTGATCATGAATTCGGTTTGTTCTGTAAGATTCTGTATGTGTCTGTCGCCCGGTTGCCTCCCCCATGTGCAATCTTTGGCATCTCCTTAAGAGAATCGACTGGGGTTTGCTTTAGCCTAGGAAGGATCGTATCAATCCCCAGAGTCCCTTGTCACCTATTGAAACAAACTTGTGCGAATGTGTTGTGTTTTGTTTTGCTATATACATTATCTGCCCTGTGATCTTGTTGACAACGCAAGGTTCTCTGTTTGACATATCTAGGTATGTATCGTGGCCTGGAGGAGCTCCAGAGGCAAGGTATCGTCAAATCAATTGGGGTGAGCAATTTCGGTGTCAAACACCTTCAAGAATTGCTCGACTCTCCAGAGACGTCTGTCGTCCCCGCGGTCAATCAGGTAACTATTTGATGAGCTTTACAGCTACGTTCATAAGTTTCTGGGGGGCCCTAAATCGACTCCACCAGTCGTACTCAGCCATACCCTAAGGCGAGAATGTACAATTTTACTGCGACAGAGCACACCACGACAACCATGTAGTTGAAGGCACTCTTCGCATTTTGCGTTTTGTGTTGTCCGTAGTTTGTATTGTTGGCTTTGGGTTTTATTATTTCACCGGCTGTGGTTTCTAATTGTGGTCGTGCCTTCTCTGTAACTATGTACCTGATGTAGTACCCGAAACAGCGAAGGCTTCGCGGATGTACAATGCCGTTACCAATGTACTCTATTGAAACTCGCGAGTGTCTGTCTTTGTCTTTAAAATTCGCGAGTGTCTGTCTTTGTCTTTAAAATTCGCGAGTGTCTGTCTTTGTCTTTAAAATTCGCGAGTGTCTGTCTTTTGTCTTTGAAATTCGCGAGTGTCTGCCTTTGTCTTTGAAATTCGCGTTTGTCTGTCTTTGCTTTTAAAATTTGCGGATGTCTGTCTGTGTCTTTAGCGAGCATACTAAAGACTGTCTACCCGTTGAAATTACACTGATACCCATATTTGATCATACGTTTCTTCTGTGTAGGTCGAGATTCATCCGTTTCTTCTGCGAAATGATATAGAGGAATTCTGCGCCGCCCATGGCATTGTTGTGCAAGCCTATTCGCCGCTGGCAAGTATGTGCATTCGCATCTTGAAAACTCGCAACACGCAGACAGTTCATGCCAATCTGTGGCGCAGCACCTGTGCACCGACACCCTTTCCTAACGCACGGGTTCATGTACTTCGCGTGTTCGTTGTTTAGAGCAAAGTATATGCAGCCCTTTTATGCACTGCTTTTTGCTGTGCTTGATGGGCGCTGCCACTTCTTGCCAATTCGAATGTATGTGCCTGTGCCGGTTGATCTGCCAACCGAGTCTCACATTGCCGCTGCCCCACTACTTGTCTCTGAGATTTTAATCAGCCATCTCTGTGCAATCCACTCATCCAATATCTGCAGAAGCCAAACGAATGGACGATGAAACGATCAACGCCATCGCCGGTGGCCACGGTGTCTCTGTTGCGCAGGTAGGATTTGTGACTGTCGCATACGGCACTGTGTATTGTATGGTGGGTGTGCATGGCTTTCCGGCTGAAGCATTAGTGCGGAATTGGTTGAAGTCATTGGTACTTCGAGTGATATGTCCGAATATATAATTGCAGCTGAACGGCTGTGTACTGAAGTGAGCGGTTTGTTATCGGCCACATCCCGTGTGTGAGTGTTGTGCTGGTGGCGCCATTCTCTGTACAAACCAATACCGTCCTGCATGCATGCTACCGTGTCGAGATTGTCAGTAGTGGTGTGTGGAAGAGTCGTCTCGTGGTAGTGCAGCGATAGTTTTTGGTTGTGAAATAGATAATAGTTGACGTATTGGATAGGACGGTGGCTCAGTATCTGTTCAGCATATTAAATCAAATCTTGGTAAGCAGCAAATGCTGGTGGTTATGTGTGTATGGTATTGATCTATAGATACGCGAGAGGTACACAGTGCGCTTCGGGTAGTGCGAAGTGAGTCAAGTTGTTTATCAAATTGAGATCATGTGATCAAAGATAATTTGTATTGTTGTTGGAATTGACAAGCCGCAAAGGTCGGCTGCGCCTGTCGAGTATTTTGCGGGCTACTGGAGTAGAAACCGCTAACTGCAGTTTTAGCTAGAACTAATTAATGCGTATGTGTTAACATCCTCGCCAAACCGTGTCGCTTCAGTTTTAAACGTTATGCAAACGTATGTCTCGCTAGTATTTCATCTGTCCATACAACTTTACGGTGCCGAATTCCTGCGGGTATGTATGTATGTATGTATGAATATATATATATATATATATATATATATATATATATATATATATATATATATATATATATATATATATATATATATATATATATATATATATATATATATATATATATATATATATATATA